GGCTTGTGTGTGGAGCATTCGCAGGCGTTTTGGCAGGGCGTGGGGAGGGGGTTAGTAGACTTTGTGTCTTTGACCTCTTTGATTTAGTCGTTTGACCCGCGTCGTTTGCAAAATCTGGTTAGACCAATTACATTTATATATATTAGCTATTTTTACAATTATGAAAGTGTCAATCAATCTTACTAGAATAGGCTTTTCGTCTACATATCATTTAAAAAAAAAGATTATAGTCGCTGCGGCCGATGCGGTTTCTTACAGATAGCAGAACTCAGTACTGTACAAGGTATTCCATGTTAGTGATGACGATGCATCTGTATTTTGATTCATATTCGAAGATAGATGTCTATGAGTGACAGTGACAGCATTCACATACCATCAGATGGACTGGGAAATAGTTTAACCCTAACTTATATAAAAAAATGCCCCGCTCCGCAAAGGCCGCTGAGAGATGCAAGCAACATACTCTCGCCGAGATGATAGCAAGACAAATAAAAGAAACTTAAAACAGTTAGTTGTAAAGAGATAACTTTGGACTAAACACATCCAATATATTTTAAACTAGCTGATAGCCGCGACTTCATCCGCGTTGCTTGATATATTAACAGTTTTCGTATGTGCGAAGGAAAAACCATCAAAAAGACAAAATTTCTTTGTAAACAATGGTATTCATTGCTCCGTTTGTAGCTAAATTCGTGAGAGCCAGTGATGTATAGTTACCCTGTGAAAACCCCCTATAAAAATCGTTGTTTCTTTAAAACTTAGAAAACCTAATTGAAATCTATCCAGTAGTTCTTCCGTGATGCGCGCAAACCTCTATCATTATCTACAGATTTCAAAAAGGAGGAGGTACTGGGTGAACCGATTTCGATGATTCTTTTGGTCCCAAATAAATTCGATCAAGGTCTGGTATATAGGTTTTTGAGTTATTCTTAATAATTTATATTGAAATCGGTTGTACAACATTTTTAATTTTAAATTATATTTATATACTATTATTATATTATATTATTATGGGGTATTTGTATAGTTTTCTCATCTGGTTGGGCTGTATAAATATATAATTGTAAATGAAAATGATAAACTTACATAAATATCAATAAAATAAAATAAATACATAAAAATTACATAAATATATAAAAACCCAACCAGATGGAAGCCCTCGGCAGGGGAGACCAAACGGCCGAGGGTTAGGGAGAAAGGGAAAGAAACCGGCGGACGATGCGGGCGGTATCGAGGAGCACCGCCTTCTGCATTTGAGCTTGGAGCGATCCGTCACGGAGTCCCAGTCGCCTCAGATGACCCGAGAGGCTGACCGGGATTAACCCGTTCGCAGAGACGACCACAGGAATAATTTCGGCCGGCAGACCACCCCACATGTCGGTCACCTCGTGAGCCAGGTCCAGATATTTTGTCAACTTATCTGTTTCGGCTTTCACGAGGTTCTCGTCATAAGGAATGGTAATGTCGACCAAAAATATCCTTGACTGTGCCCGGTCCATCAGCACAATATCAGGCTTATTCGCAAGAATAGTCCTGTCCGTGATGATGGCCCGGTCCCAGTAGAGCCTGGCGCGGTCATTTTCGAGCACGGCTTCCGGCAAGTAATTATAATATGGCAGTTTCCGATCCACGAGACCGTATTTCAGAGCGAGCTCCTGGTGTAGAATCCTGGCTACTAGGTTGTGTCTGTGCAAATACTCAGAGTTAGAAAGCGCCGAACAACCGGAGATGACATGCCTAAGTGACTCACCGGGATGGCGACAAGCTCGACAGATGTCGACGGCGCCATCCTTTAGGATGTATCTCCGATAATTGTTGGTCTTAATAACCTGATCCTGTATCGCACAGACAAAACCCTCGGTTTCCCCAAAGAGGTCACCGAAACGTAGCCAGCGGAGGGAGGCGACTGTGTCTACGCAAGGCTCATGTAGAGCCTTGTAGAACCTCCCGTGGAGCTCCTTCTCCTTCCATACGGTCTCCCGGTCGGAAATGCTCTGTACTGCCGGGTCTTGCCATTGCTCGTTGGCTAAGGATAGAGGGGTAAGTCCTTTATCACAAGAAATAACGTCCCTATAGAATGGATCATCCGCTCTCGTCAGAAAGTAATTACGGAGGCTGCACACTTCGCGATTATGCATGGTAAGCGCGCTTAAAAAGCCGCGCCCACCATGCTTCCGCGGCAAGTACAGCCTCATTACTGACGATCTCGGATGATGCATCCTGTGGGACGTCATTATAGTGCGGACTTTTCTGTCCAGAGCGTTCAATTCGGTCTGAGTCCACCTGAGCATGCCAAAGGTATACATGAGAACAGGCATGATCCAACCGTTATATGCATGTGTCTTATTAACGCCCGACAAAAGACTGTTGAGCACTTTTGTCAAGCGTGCATAAAACACACCGCAAACTGACCGTTTCATGTCCGCCTCATCGATACCTATGTTCTGTGACATACCCAGGTATCGGTATGTTTCAGCCTCGGATAGGGTCTTTATGTTGATGGGCATAGATAAGTCTATGCCCTCAGAGTTAGCAACCCTACCCCTTTCGACATGGAGGATCGCACACTTATCCGTCCCCAGCTCCATTCTAATAGAATTGCTAAAATCACAAGTGATGTTTAGCAATTCCATAAGATGAGAGCGACTGGAGGCGAATAACTTGAGATCATCCATATAGAAAAGGTGGGTCACTTTTGTACCTCCTCTCCGAAGCTGAAATCCCCTCCCGGAACCCTCCAGTAAGGTACTAAGAGGGTTCAGAGAGAGGCAGAACCAGATTGGACTCAGACAATCGCCCTGGAAGATACCCCTTCTTATCCTTATGTGGTTCTCCGCAGCCGTCATCCGCTCGCCTAGATGACAAAGGATCGTACTCCACTGCCCCATACACTGCCCGAGGAAGTCTCGAACTGTACAGTCAACCTTGTACAGCTCGAGGACCCTCTTCAGCCATGTATGAGGCACCGAGTCGAATGCCTTTTTGTAGTCTATCCAGGCGGCGGAGAGGTTCCGACGGTTGCGTTTAACCACCTTGCCAATGACCGCGTCAATGAGGAGTGGTTCCTTGGTTCCACGACCGCCGCCCCGACATCCATTTTGAGCGCGCGACATCACCTGATTTGAGTTCAGGTGACGAGTGATTCTCGCGCTCAAAATGGATGTGAGTGTCTTGTATATGGTAGGTAGACACGTTATGGGGCGGTATTTGCTCGGGTCTGTGGAATCTCGGTCTTTAGGAACCAGATGAGTGATCCCAGTAGTGAAGAGGCTCGGGAGCGACTTTTGGTCGAGAGCCTCTTGAAACTGTCGGGCGAGAACAGCGTGACACACCACGAACCCCTTCAGCCAGTAGTGATGCAGTCCGTCGAGTCCCGGACTTTTCCAGTTCGGGGCCCTACGGACCGCCTCAGCTACGTCATCCGGCGTAATGATGACGGGGTCCATGGGCGTAACATTCGCACACTGACTCGCCACAACTTCCGTCCAAGGGCCCTCACTGTGGTTTACGGGCTCTGACCACAGGCCGCGCCAGAATGCGATAGTGTCGGCCTGATTCGGTGCTGGGCCCGTTCCACGTACCATTGGTCGCTCCAATGATTCATAGAGCCTCTTCTGATCACTCTGGAAGAGACGATTCTGGTTGAACCGTGTTGACCTCTCGGTATATCGCCGAATCCGCTTCCCCCAAGCAGCGATTCTCTGCTTCAGGTCGTCTATGCGCTCCGTCAGTTTTTGCGTTATATCCGGCTGGGACAAACTGATGTTTGTCCCAGCAAACGCCATCCTGACGGTGCGCACAATTCTCGGCCTATTATTGCCCGACCTGAAGCTTATCAGCCTGCCGATGAGGGCCCTTGCCTTTGCGATACGGTCCTCAATTCTTCTTCTCCAGGCTGGGATGGCGCTACTTTGTCTAGTAGCGCGTCCAGCCTTGGGAAGTTTGGCGCCAATAATACGGCAAACTGCCAGTGCGGCGCCAAAAAGAATTGAGTCCGTCTCGCAAAGGTCCCGGCTGGCTTCCAAATAGGTCACCAGCATTGGGTTGAGAGCCCTCACGACAGCCCGATTCCGCTTGCTTAGGGGTATACGGGGAAGTCGCGGTCGATTCTCGAGAGGCGTACTGCGCGTTTCCCTAATCGCCTCTTCCACTATGCTCCTCATTTGCTCTAGTTCTGGGGCGACTATTCCATCGTCGCCTGAGTCAACTACAAGGAGATCAACGGCGGCATCTACATGTGCGGGTTGCTCTGCAACTCGTAGAGCCGCATCTCCTGTCGTAGTATTTTCATTCGACAAAGGAATAGCCTCACGTCGTAGCCGTTCGAGTTCGGCGTCATCAAATATTTTTGAGCGCATGATGTACCGAACTCGGTCTGCCAGATTTTGCTCGGTAACGGTAATAGATGGCTCCAGCTCAGCAAATAGTCGGTGCATCCTAGCCCGATACCCAAAACCTCCAATTTCTCTCCCTTTCGCCCCAAAATACGCCCGCAATGCATTTTTATTCATTTGCATTGACCAACGCATGCGGCGTACTCCACCAGTGGCGGGTGCTGATTGCTGGGCCAACGAAGACCCTGCCAACACCAAGCCAGCTGGTGGGGATGATGGATGCGAGGGGCTGCTGGGTGATCGTGCAGCACCTCGCGGTCGACTGGCGGTTCGCATGCTGCCGCGTCCAGCGCCAGCTCCAGACGCGCCCTGGCGACCTCCAGGCAGCGGCCCTTTGCGCGTATTTCTTAGTTCCATCATCCATTACTTGGGCGTCAGTTAACGGGAGACGCCCAGACCCGGCACCGTTTCATGGTGAGGCCATGTGCACAATCGGGCCTTTGCACCTCCAATTTTGCCGAGGCACGGCGCTAACACCTCTTGGCAAGGTGCTGACTGACTGCGCTGACGTAGCAGTTTTGTCACATAACCGTTACGTCAGCGGGCGATGGGGTCGTCACTTCCCTACGCCTTATATTATTATTATTATTTTATTTTTCTCCTTTTGGGTTTACAACTCTTAGATCGGCTTTTAGCAAGATGCAAAGAGGTTGTGTTTTATAGGGCAAGATGCTTCCTCACAATGGCAGTTGTCCTTAGGATAACAGCTTTTTGAATATTGTTCCTAACGGACATTGGTAGGTCTAGCTTAGAAAGATTTTCGTTAAGCTGCTTCGGTATTATTCCTGTAGTTGAGATTATGAGGGGAAGGACTTCTACTTCATCCTGAAGCCACATTTGTCTCACTTCTTCAGCAAGCGGTTGGTATTTTGTCTTTTTTTCCATTATATATTGCTGAATATTATGCGAGTTAGGAACCCCAACGTCCAACAGACAAGCCCGTTTCTCCTTTTTATAAAGAATTATAATATCTGGCCGATTATGGGGGACGGACCGGTCTGTTAGGACTGATCTATCCCAATACAGTTGAATGTTGTCATTTTCCAGCACGGGACTAGGGGAGTATTTCCAGTACGGGTTGTCATCCTTCAATAGATCATATTTTCGGCCCAGTGCTAGATGGATTATTTTGGCGACATCGTTATGACGCTGAGTATATTCTGATGCAGCAAGAGCCTGGCACGAACCCGTGATATGTTGGATCGTTTCAGGTTTCTGATAGCATCGTCTGCATAGGTCATCTTCGACATTTGTTTTGGCTATGTATTTTAGGTAATTCTTTGTCGGAATTACTTGATCCTGTATTGCTATCATAAAACCCTCAGTTTCTGCAAACAGTTCCCCGCGGCGCAACCAACTGGTCGACGCTGCAATATCGACGTGAGGGCCTCTAAGCTCGTGGGCAAACCTTCCATGTAGTGGTTTTGAGGCCCACTGGTTAAGTTTGGCCTTAAGGTATTCGGCATCAGCAACCAAGGGCTCAACTTCTTTAGAATGAAGAAGATCCAGTGGAGTATAGCCATTATCCGCTAAAGTAACTGTTTGGTGTAAGGGAGACGACTCTTTGCTGAGGAAGTAATTTTGCAAGTTTTTTATTAGCTTGGAATAAAGCCGCCTTAGGTCAACGAGACCTCTTCCCCCTTCAGCTCTTGGCAAAGTTACTCGTTCAGTAGCGGATTTAGGATGATGGAACCGATATTTTGTCAATAATACACGGGTAGTTCTCTCAATATTCCCGATATCAGTGTCTGTCCATTTTACAATTCCGAAGGTGTAAGTTATTGTTGGCATTGCGAAAGTGTTGATTGCCTTGAAGATGTTTTTGCTCTTAAGACCCGTTCCGAGAATTTCTTTGAGCCTACGGTAGTATTCTTTACATATCCGAGATTTTATTTCCTTGTGGTCGATTCGAAGAGTTTGGAGTAAACCAAGATATTTGTAATTGTCATCTTTAGCCATCGCATCAATTATACCACCATCCTGAAGGTCGTAGCCTTCTGCCTTTTTGACCTTTCCCCTATCAACACTTAAAGTTCGACACTTTTCCAGGCCAAAAGACATTTTAATGTCATTCGAGAACTGCTCAGTACTTTGCAGTAAGCCTCTAAGTTCACGAGCATTAGCAGCGTACAACTTTATGTCGTCCATGTACAAAAGATGGTTAAGTTTGAACTCTATCCCAGTACCGCCCTTAATGAGAAACCCGTAACCTGTATTGTTTAATATTGCAGATAACGGATTCAGAGCAAGACAAAACCAGAGGGGACTTAAACTGTCACCCTGAAAAATTCCTCGACGTATGTGAATGTAGTTCGTTTTGATGTTATAACCCTTTAAACTAAGAGAAAGTTCAGTACGCCAATACGACATAATATGTTTAAGCAATGCTGCTACCTTAGGATGGATCTTATACATATTAAGGACGTGTATCAACCAGGAGTGCGGCACAGAGTCAAAAGCCTTGCGATAGTCAATATATGCCACGTGGATATTTCTAGATTTGTGGTATGCTTGCTCTGTGACCACAGAATCTATTATAAGTTGTTCTTTACAGCCTTGCGACTTCTTTATACACCCCTTTTGCTCAATAGCTAGTATCGACTGTAGGTCTAAGTGCTCATAAATTTTCGCTGTCAAACATGATGTCAGGGTTTTATAAAGTGTACAGAGGCAGGTAATAGGTCGGTACTTTGTGGGGTTAGCAATATCATCATCCTTTGGCAGCAGATATGTAATACCGGTGGAAAGATATGGAGGGAAAGCCTCAGGACTTTGAAGGAAAGAATTGAAGCACTTTGATAGAGGGTCGTGTAAGGTAGTGAATTTCTTGATCCAGTAGTTATGAATACCATCGGGACCGGCAGCCTTCCAGTTATGCATTTTGTTCACTGATTTTGTGACATCATCCACTGTAAAGCACACAGATTCCATTGGGATGGTGTTAGTCAGGCGCTCGTCTTCTAGACTAATCCAGCTAACATCTTTGCGGTGTCTCACACTTTCAGACCAAATTCCTTTCCATAAGTCTTCTATATGCTTTAGGGAAGGAGGCTGAGTGTTACTCAAGTTATTATTGGGATTCAATCGGAGTCGCCTATAAAATTTATTTTCACTGCGATCAAAGATAGCGTTGTCTATTTTTCTTTTTTGTGATGCACGATATCTCCTAAGCCGATTAGCCTTGACAGCTAACTTCTGTTTTAATGTGTCCAATATCTCCTCAGGAGTTTTATTTGGTGGATCGTATTTGGTGTGCATGAGTTGTTCTAGTTGTAGTTTTTCATACAATGCTATTATTTTCTTTGTCCTTATGCCTAAGACATACTGGGTTATTCTTCCAATTTGACAACGCAGCTTATCTATTTGACGGGATAGTCTGTATTCCCAAGCTGGTATTTTATTCGTTATAGGTGATGTGTATTGTTTTTCTACTTTCCCCCCAGTGGCTCGCACAACTGCAACAGCAGCTACATATATGGTGGTCTGAATGGTTTCAAAACTTTTATCACATTCAGCAAGGTATTGCGGCAATAATGTAGAATTAACTACTTGAACGGCCGCTGCTAACTTCCGGGAAGTGCTTTGGCGTGGAATTATTGGTCGCGTCAGGGGATCAGTCCCTGAAAATTCGATAAGCGCTCTATTAAACTCGTGTTGCAGAGCTTCAGGCACCGGATTTTTAGCCTCTTTTTCGCCCATTTGGTTGGTATTTGGGGCATTTATTTCTAGTCGTAATGCAGTTGGTGTGGTACCGCAAGAAGTTTTTTCTAAGGGAAAACAATTCTCCAGGATTTGAGTCCCGTCCTCTTGAGATGATATATTTTCTACATTACCGAGTTGAAGTTCTCTAGCTACTTCGGTTTTCAATTGTTCTAGTCTTAAAAGTGAAATCTTCTTTGTATTTAGAATTACTCGTTTTTGGTCGGCTATCCTTTGTTCACTCACTTTTTCTGTTAACTCAGGATATCTTTCGATAAAACGTTTCCGCATCTCTGACCTGTAGCCTACTAGGTGAGTATCTAGTTTCGTGGAGAGGTAGTAACAACGCATGACGTGCTCGTTCATGTCTACTGTCCAAGTCATGCGCTGTCTGGGAAGACCGGCCTTAGTGGTCATGGATAAAATATTCCGCGAAACACTTGGGACCGGAGGAGACTGGGATGTGGATAGGGAAGGGGGATTGGAGGAAATGTTTTCTACATCAGTTGTTAGCTGGGTAGAGGTGTGTTTTCTGTTGCTTTTTCTCATATTGTTCCCACGATTAGCTAGGGACTATACTGTCAACCGCGGCAGAGCCCTGCGTTCACCGCGGTAAGGGTAAATGAAACTGGAGGGCCCCTATTCTCCAGAGTTCGCATGCTATCGACTATGCTTCCCCATAGCCATGCAGCCCTCGGCACATGCTGTTCCACCTTGGCTTGGATTGGGAGTTGGTATCCAAATAAGCAAGTACCCATTGCCCCATTTATTATTATTATTATTATTATTATTATTATTATACTATTATAAAGAGGAAAGATTTGTTTGTTTGTTTGAATTGAATAGGCTCCGAAACTACTGGACCGATTTGAAAAATAATTTCACCATTAGAATCCTACATTATCCCTGATGAACATAGGCTATATAATATTTTCAAAAAAGTTAGGGATCCGTATGAAAACTTCGTTAATGTAACCCAAGGTGTGAAAAAAATACCAAAAAGAATCCTTATATCGCGTACGCTGCGGAAACTATTGATAATAGAGCAAAGTAATGTATTTCAGTTTTATAGAAGATATCAATATCTACAAAAAAGTCTGCGATACTATATGTTTAACTATAACAGTTATGTCACAATAACTACTTTTTCATGTTAAAATGTGAAATAGTAACGCCGGTACAAAATAGGCCACATTATTCGTATCAGTACCTGTATCATGTGTAAACACCAATTACGTTAACCATGTAATTTTAGTAACATATTTCACTTTTTAAATCTTTGTTAATTCAGCAACCGTCCGTCGTGATGTCTCTCTCGAAGTTCGCATGTCGCAAGGCGCAGACGCGTGATATACGCGGGTGAAACCGCGGGGCACAGCTAGTATTTATATAAATAGATTAAAAATTACTCCGGTCCTATTGCAAAGACTGTTATTCCTGAAGAATATTCACAATTTGAATATAAGTCATTATAAAAGTTGCACGAATTAAAAATATATTTTTATCAAAGAATCGGATCTCATTTATTGGATACAATTCTAGTATCGTATTTCTAAGTAGCGATCCTTCCGATGCAAAGAATGGATACAATTAAATGTATCGTGCGTCCTTATCGTAGACACGTTGTTCGTGTTCTATTCCGAGACGATAATAGACCTGAGAACCAGTCGCCGGTTATCTCTGCTATCTATCTAATTCAATTAACTAATGAGACTTTGTTACTGAAACAATACAGTACTAAAATTTTATTTACTTTTATTTTTTACTAGCTAGTTTGCATTTTTTTGAACGGAACCCCCATTTATATAACCCCAATCACAGGATCCCACGCAGGTGGTAGCAACCAGCCTCCCTCTCTATTGAAATAAGAATGTATTTTAATTTCAATAGCCTCACGTATCATCCTTGGCAGGAATCGATGTTCTTTCGCGAGAATTTGTGGTTTATCACATCTAATGTAATGACGGGGGCCGTCGAGGATATGATCACAAACTGCAGACTTCCCGGAACTTTGGTGTTTCACGTCAGCTATGTATTCTTTAACGCGAGTTTAGCGATTTTATAATGTTAAAACTAAATCCAAGCATACCACTGCAAGACTTCAAGACACAGTAAGTTCATTCTGCGTTGATCGGACCAAAACTAATAATTAAAAAAGCTGAAGGTACTCGGGTTAACTCTAACATCGGGACGTAAATCACCTCAGTCCCCCGTGACCATGAGTACTGTAAAGCACCAGAAACGTCGGGAATTTAATAAAAATAAGTTAATTAAACGCGATAGAATCCGTAAAAGTAGTTTTATTCAATGTGTAGTGTTCACGTAAATATAAAAAATATTTTTTTACGTGGCAGAGCCATGCTGCAGCTATATTAGTAGTATAGTAGTAGGGGAAGGACCACGCTCTCACAGAATACCAGCGTAAAATAGCAGCTTAACACTGCTGTGTTTCATATGGTGAGTGTAGAGAACCGGAGACCTTTTTTACTGGAAAAGAAGCATTCCATTATAGTCCTCACGGGTGACAACGCATCTGCATTTTAATTCACAAACGAGGATAGATATAGATGTCTATGGACCACAGCAACCACTTACTATCAGGTGGACTGTATGCTCGTTCGTCACCCTATCCATATAAAAAAATACACATTTTTTTTATAGGAGAGGGGGCAAACGAGCATGCGGCTCACCTGATGGTAACTACCGCCGCCCATGAACAACCGCAACACCAGGGGAATTGCAGATGCGTTGCCGGCCTTTGAAAAAGGAGTAGGCTCTTTTCTTGAGGCCCTAAGTCATATCAGTCCGGAAAAATCGCTGGTGGTAATATAACCTATACATCTATGTATCGCTAAACACACAGCTAGACCGCCACGATATAACAGTGCACTTTAACATAGTCTTGAAATTTTTCATAATATAAATAATCTTCTTTATTTTTTAATAGTAGAAAGTTGTAATAACATTATTTTATTTAACACCAGCGTTTCGCCCCGGCTTTGCACAGATGCTTCTGTATCTTGTCAACAACACCACTTACCTAACGGGTCTAATTAGTCGTTGACGCCGCAAAGGGGCGAACCTGAATTTTTCAAAAAATTACGGGATAGCAAGAAAACATTTATTATTTACCAATTACTACTAGCTTTTTATCATCAGAAAATTAAATATATTAGAGTTAAAGGAAAACTACAAATAAGATTAATTTTCTGATGAAAAAAAGCTAGTAATCGGGGAATAATATATGTTTTCTTGCTCTTCTGTAATTTTTTGAAAAATTGAGGTTAGCCCCTTTGCGGCATCAACGACGAATTGTGAACCCACTCAAACTTTCATCAAAATCAGTCAAGCCGTTTTGGAGTGATTCATTGACGAACACAAGTACAGATAAATATGTAAAAGTATTTTTTTAAAGTACTTTCATATTTCAAGTTTTTAGCCAATTTTTTTTTACTTTTATTTTTTTGAGTTATCACGAAGAAGCTGGCCTATTTTTCCTATTTCACCTCATAAAAAAACGGAACGATCACACACAACAACAGCACAGAGTATCTAATATTACGAGATGTTTTAATTTATAAAACGTAATGCGAGCACGTCGTCGGAACTAATAGAAAGTTGTCTTGACCGAGCTACGCAGCGGCAATGGAAATTGATCGCTCACTGCCATTGAAATAATAAGATATAATAACAAACCTGCGTATTTCACGGTAAGGTACAGGCTTTTACAAAGTCATGCCTAGAATATTTTTTTAAAGGTTTTTCTCCTGTATCATGGAGGCAGTTTACATAATAAATCTCACAAGGACAAACATCATCATCATCATTGTTCCGGGCGGGATTCGAACCCGCGGTTCTTAGCGCTGCAACTCATTGCTAAGCCACTGCGCCTTTAATAAAATATAATAAAGCTAGTATCATTTGTCCACAGAATTTAACAATACATAAAACTTCAAATAAGAAAGGCTACAGATGCGTTGTCACCTTTCGAGGACTAAGATGGAATTCCTCATAGTCTATAATTTTACACTGGCTCTGTTCACACCGGAACAGTAGTAATTAATACATAAATATTTTTAAAAAAAGAACATCAAATATGAAGCCATACTAACATTTTATATTTTACATAGAAAAAAAATTTACACATTTGAAATATCGAATTCGATTAGATTCGATTATCTTCTCTTTAAATTTTTTTTATGGTGTCCGAGAAGTATCAACAGAAGATGCGGTTTAACAATCATTACATCTTGTCTAATTTATATTTTATTAACACTTACGAGAAGATATATATATATATTACTTATCGTTGACCTCTAACTCCCGTCATATTATCTCCTTTTAAAGAAAATCACTGGCGACTTGCGTCATTCAGCCTAGCGCAACGACGCAAGAATAAAAAATTAAAAAAAAAAACATAATACGTATAGTACATATATACGAATAATTTTAAGAGAGAAAAGATAGGTATCACATCTTTAAAACAATTGGTGTCAATCAGACACTCAGGTCAGACCTACGATAACTCACGGCTATTGTTGTGTCAAATAGCATCCATATTTTCATACATGGAATCTTATCAATAGCTTTATAAGTCATTTTTTGTTTTCTTTTACAGAATTAAGGGTGACAAAAGAACACACGGTCAATATACACTGTCATAGATCAAAAATCAAAATGCACAATGTCACCCTCTGAGGGACTCAGATGGAATGCCTCGTTTCCAGTAAAACTTTTTTTTATATAGGATAGGGTGAAAAACGAGCACACAGTCCACCTGATGGTAAGTGGTTGCTGTGACCCATAGACATCTACATTTATCCTCAATAAAGAATCAAAATGCAGATGCGTCGTCACCCGTGAGGACTAAGATGGAATGCCTCTTTTCCAGTAAAAAGGGTCTCCGGTACTCTACACTCACCATACGAAACACAGCAGTGTCAAACTGGTATTCTGTGAGAGCGTGGTCCTTCCCCGGTCGAGAAGCCCCATTTGTGCTACAACTATACTACTAATATAGCTGCAGCATGGCTCTACCACGTATAACGTGTCTCCGGTTCTCTACACTCACCGTACGAAACACAGCAGCATTAAGCTGCTATTATACAGTAGTTTTCTGTGCGTGAGGGTAGTCCTTTCCCGAGAGAGTCGATCTTTTCGTCTGCTGGCATAATTATACTGCGGAGTGGCTCGGCTCTGCCACGCACTACGTGTTACTTCATAGTTAATAAAAAAGTAATTAAGTAGTAGTAGGTATCTGCTCTATTTAAATTTAGGATGCTTATTAATTTCAATATCCTCATGAATCATCTTTGGTAGGAATCGGCGTTATTTTGCGATTTTGTGGTCTGTTTATCATATCATTAATATGTTTATTTATGTCTGCCCGGAGTGTCGGTGTTTCACATCACCTATATGTTATTTTATTCGGGTTTTACGGATTTGTTTGTTCTATATAAGAGAGAGATCACTTATATAGTTATATACTTATATAAGCTTATACACTCCTGCAGTGAAGAGGTAGAGGGAGGGAAGGATTAAAAATAATTTGATTTAATGTGGAGTGTTCGCGTAAATATAAGGATTTTTATGAGATATCTGGAGTTTTAATGCGTAGTCCAAAGTGAAATACAGCTTGCTTTGTATACAAACTTAAAATTTTAAGAATTACGGCCCAATTTTGACCACTAGGCGACCACTAGATTAATACGTAAATTAATATCATTCGTTACTGCGGTTTAGATTATAGAACAATTATACGT